GGCGTGACGTCTTTTTTCCTAATTTCCGTAAGCGAGGTGTCAATGAAGGGTATGGTCACTTGCCAACGAGAAGCCAGGTGGCTTACTTGCTTTACGCCTCGAAGAGAAATTCCGCACTCGAACAGTAAGGCTCTCATTCGGAAACCAAAAGTCAAAGCGTGCTGATGCGGTCCATGACGAAGGGAACTCACGGCAAACCGAGAAAATACTGCAGAATATGTTGGATGAAGTGGAAACCGCCGCAGCTTCAAGGCATAACGTATGCCGAGCATTTTCCTCCTCGTCGAAAGTGGTGGCTCGTGTGCCTCTGTTAAAAGGCTGACGGAAGGTGACGTGCGGAACGCCCCACTAGCAACACGAATGACAGTGTGGTGGACGGTATCAAGAACACGCTTGCTGGATTCAAACGCGCCATCATACACAAAGCATGCATAATCCAGTTTGGAGCGGACGAGTGAGCGATATAAAAGCATAACCGTGCTTCTGTCTGCCCCATATGATGTGCGGGACACACACTTTAGTATGTTGAGAGATTTAAAGCAACGATCGCGTAACATTTTAAGATGTGCATTATATGCAAGGCGGCGGTCAAAGCGTATCCCAAGGTACCTCGCCACGGCCTTATTTGGAATGGAGCGACCATATAGACGGATGCTCAGGTCATCACATCGCTGGCGACGGCAAAAATGCATCGCAATGGTCTTGTCGCCTGAAAAACAGAACCCGTTCATGTCACCCCATCTTTCAACGCAGTCCAGATCCAGCTGGAGACGTCGCTCCATCACTCGCTGCACTGGTCCAAGTAGTAAAATCGTCAACAAAAAGGGCACGTCCGATCGGCTGGGGTAGCACATTACAAATATAATTTAGCATAACTGCGAACAGCGCTACACTTAACACGCCGCCCTGGGGCACACCATTTAGTTGTTGGTGCCTATGGAAGAGGACATTGCCGACCCGAACACGGAAATATTGTTTGGCTAAAAACCTTTGGAGAAAAGTACCCATATGGCCACGTATACCATATTTAAAGAGCTTTTGAAGATCACCATGGTGCCATGTGGTGTCATGGGCGGTTTCAGTGTCGAAGAACGCTGTCCCCATATGCGCTTTCTCTTGAAAAGCCTTACGAACCATAGTGTCTAAAGCTAAAAGGTGGTCCACCGTACTACGGTTTTTCCTAAACCCGCACTGCGAGTTACTACAAATATCGTTGTTCTCCAAACACCAAGTGAGTCAAACGCTTACCATCCTTTCCATGAGCTTGGACAGTGATGACGTCAGTGAAATGGGTCGGTAATGAAGAGGGTCCATCCCACTCTTTCCCGGTTTTAGAGTAGGCACCACAACAGTTTCCCGCCAGGCCGGAGGGAATTCACCACTTGACCACACCCTGTTGAAGGCCGCCAACAGAACACGAAGTGTACACGGTGGCAGATGTCGGAGCGTGTGTCACATTGTGGACGTTATCAGGGCGTTTCGATACACTACGGAGCTTTGCGATTGCCGAATCCAGCTCCACCAAAGTGAAGAGCTCATTGAACGTTTGTGGTTGCCTTGTGAAAAAGTCCACCACGATTATTTCTCATTGTGCTCTTTGCTGTAAGAACTGTGGGCTCGCGTTTGCACCTTCGCTACGATGGGAGAGTGCTCGGGCGATCTCGTTAGCCACATCCAACGGGTGAGTCGCCAGCTGGCCGTTAACATGTAGCACAGGAAGTGGCACGGATGAAACTGCCCGGAGATGCGCTTAATCCGAGCCCAAACCTGCGAAGCTGGCGTGAATCGGTTGAGCGTGCTTACATACACACGCCAGGGTTCACGTTTCGCTTCTTTTATCGTGCAACGGGCAAAAGCTCTCGCCTTCTTAAAAGCTACTAAATTCTTCAGGCTATTTCTGGCGTCCAAAGCTCGGAAAGCACTATTGCGAGCGCGAATTGCGCCACAACAATTCTCTGTCCACCACGGCACGGGAGTGCGACGGGGAAATCCAGAAGTGCGCGGGATGTAATCGCTAGCGCAATCTAAAAGTCGAATAAAATCCTCAATAGAGGGTGTCGCGCTTTCACATCCGGTCTGACACAATGTCTCCAGTCAAGCCCCAAACTCACTCAAGCCAGCCTTTTTTTAAATTCCACCGTCACGGCCTTACACCAACGTTCCTCTTATCTGGAATGGAAGCCACACTGAGAAGTGATCGCTGCCCATTGGATCATCTGCCACAGACCACTCGAGGCTCTCCACCAGCTCGGGACTAGAAAGACTCAAGTCAAGCGCGGAAGTCTGACCGGACGGAAGTGTAAAATGAGTACGAGTCCCTGTGTTTAAAATACACAGTGACAAGTCATGGATAAAATAATCGCAAATCCTCCCATGGGTGTTCGTGCTATCACAGCCCCACGCGGTGTGATGAGCATTGAAGTCGCCTAAAAGAAGACATGGTGAAGGCGACTCATGCACTAAACGTCTCATCTCTTTCAATGGAAAAGCGACGCCAGGTGGAAGATATAAGGAACACACCGTGATGTAACGGTGATTAAAATGTAGGCATGCGGCTACAGCCTGTAGCGTAGACCACAGGCTTCAGCCTCCTGGCTGGCACGCTGTGGTAAACTGCAAGAAGGACACCGCCGTGTGCGATACCGTCGGTTAATACACCGTTGCGAAACAGGGCGTAGCCCTTCAGCGTGCAGTGGTGACCAGAAGCCAGCTTGGTCTCTTGCAGCGCTACGGCTGCAGGACAGTGCTTGCTGACGACAGCCTGGAGGTCGAGGGCATTCGCCCTTATTCCTCTACAGTTCCACTGTAAAAAGGCCTGTAAAAGGAGCGTGTTAAAAAGGCGGCTGGAGGTCACATACTAAAACCGGACACGTCCTAAAAGAACTGGGCTGCGCCAGTTGCAGGAGCAGACGTTTCAGACTGGGAGCCACGGCTCGATTCTGCGGGAACGTGCCCCACTCTGGGACGAATTCTGGGGCTCCCTCCGTCAGATGGAGACGGGGGACCGGCCGGGGCACGCTTCACGCCAGCATACCCAGTCCGGGGTGGCGGCGGGGAAGGGCCCATCGGCGGGCCTCTACCGTGTCTGACGTCTGGGCGTCTGGGGGTCAGCGGGGGCCTCCACTGGCCCTCTCAGCGATGGAGTACCACCGCAAGGGGCGGGCTCCTTGCTTGCACCGGACAAACGATTGGCCGCCTTAGCCCGCTCCAACTCGGCCAAGCGGGCCCGCCTGGCGTCGCGGGCGCGCCTGTCTGCATCATGACGTTCCATCGTTCCCATTGCCCCTCCGCACGCACTCGCCAGTGTCTCCTGTGGCGGCCAGGACAGCGGAGCGCCAGACGGCGAGGACGGCCAAGCCCGCGGACCATGGCCGCGCTTGACCACCGTCCATTCCTCCTCCTCCCCCGCTAGCGACCCCGACGACACCTGAGGGGCCGGCGGCACAGCGTGTGTAGAGCAGGGCGCAGCTGAAGGACCCGGAGGATCCAACTAGGCGGGAGTCGCCCGTCCCGCCGGCACCGCAGACAAGCTGAAGGATCGCAAGAGCGCGATGAATTGGACCGCTCACACGTGATTGATGCTGGTGGACTGTAGTACAGAGGTTTGGGATTTTTCGGCATAAGATACTTTGGGGTGATTAGCCTCTTACTGTTCACGCGCCTCGCGGAAAGAGATGTTATTTAAGGTTCTGAATGACATAATTTCCTTTTCCTTCATAAAGGCTGGACAATTTCGATCGAAAGTTGTGTACGGTACCTGCCCCGTGCCACAGTTCACGCACCAAGGCTGCACAGAAGTACACTGGCCTCCCGAATGCTCGCAAGATGCACACTTCCCACAGACAGCTCGATTGCGGCAGCGTGGTTTTGTATGATCAAAGCGCTGACATTGAAAACATCGCACCGGATTCGGAACGAAGACTGACTTTGACAGCGGCGTAGCCAACGTGGATATCGGACGGTAGATCAGGCCGGTTAAATGTCAATATAACGTTTGTAGGGATTTGGTCATCACACCTCCTGGTTGTGATCCTTCACACAGCAGCGACCCCAGATTCCCAACTCTTCGATGATTTCCTCCTCGCTGACGTCACGAAGGTCATAGCAGTTTATGATGCCTTTTGATAAATTTTTGGTGTGGTGCGGTGTGACCGTGACTGGCACGTTCACGTCTCGTTTCCCACCCTCGGTTCTCGCGGCATAAACAAATTCAGTGCCTGTCATAGCTCGAGTCGCATCGGCGCCATTTGCGAACTCCACCTCGACCGCGCCATCCTTATCACAGCGGGTGACTTTTCCCAACCTGTCGCATCCGTTTCGGCGCTGAAACGGCGAAAGCAATGCTAGGTTCTTCACATCACTCCGGCAGACAGGAACGCGTGGGGCAGGTGGAACTGACTCCTCGCTGCGCCCTACGTTCATCGCAGTCCGTCCCCTTCTCGGGGGGCGGGTGTTTTTTGGGTTTGTAGATGTCATGCAGTGTTATTGTTAATTTCGGCACCGGGGTTCCCCACCCACCTCGGAGTCCAACTGGGGGACGGCCCACTCACCCAGGGGGTGGCGGTGCCGCCAGGGTTACCTCGGTGCTATACGGGACGAACGACGCCTCCCACACGGCCAGGTGTAACCGGGGAGACCCCTCCCCATCCTGGCCGTAGTTCAGCGCCGCCGCCCCCTGACCTCTTAAGCCGCTGCGCAGGGCCAGGCACCCTAAGCGGAGACCCGCACGGAGCACCCAGCCGTAGCGCCAGCGACAAGCCGCCAGGCCCGTGCAGGGCCCCACGGGCCCCCGGATATCCCGGCCAAAGTCGAGTGTTAAGATACGTGACTGACCCGCAAGACACGCCCCTCAGCCACCAGAATCCGGCCAACCCGGGAACGCGGGCGAAGGGGTACGGCGAACCCGATAAGACGAGGGTTAGGAGTGACGAGTGCGCCGGATGCGGGAGAGCGGGTAATGAGAAGGGGGCGGGTGGGACAAGGAGCAGGAGCTCACGTACCGGCAGAGTCGCTACGCACTGAGAGGAACGGCTTACGCTGTCCGCCTGTTACCGGAGCTGGGACCCGAGAGGGCGCCAATCCCCTACACCGGCCGAAGTCGGCGCCCCTGGGGAGAAAAAAAAAACACTAGACATACGGGCAAATATTTGAGCTCCGTGTACCGTGAGTCATCCTGTCTAATTTCTTAAGCACTAGTGCAGTCCAGAGGGGAGAATAAATGTCGCCGAGATAGTATTAAAGAGCCGTTCTGGAACCGCCGGGTACGAGTTCGTGGGAACTCCTGCCTTCGCTCATGGAAGTCTGACCACGCGCCTCCTCGGAGTGAGGCTGGGCACGGCCCCACAGCTGAGACACCAGGCGCCTCCTCGGCGTGAGGCTGGGCATGACCCCACAGATGAAGATGATATTTAGAGTTTGTGGGTGCGTCGACTACGTGTCCATTTCGCGCCCTCTCAAAAACTGTCTACTGCACGTCACTCGGTCAGAACTGCGCCACTTATATATATATATATATATATATATATATATATATATATATATATATTACTCCGCATTTCGTCTGAACATTGCACCGGCGGCTCCCCGTCGGCACCAGTCGCCTGACCCATTTGGATGGTCGCCAGGGCCGTGCAAGAACGGCGCCTGGAAGGCCCGTTATCCGCGTGTGGGTGTGCGGAGTCGACGCGGGGCACCAACAGGTTAACAAATCCAGGCCAAACTGCATCACTCCTCTGGGGCACACATCCAGGCCAAACTGCATCACTCCTCTGGGGCACAAATCCAGGCCAAACTGCATCACTCAAACTGCATCACTCCTCTGGGGCACAAATCTAGGCCAAACTGCATCACTTCTCTGGGCACAAATCCAGGCCAAACTGCATCACTCCTCTGGGGCACAGCCGGGTGCGGCAGCCCTATTGAGACCAAAAAATCTGGGTCGAGGGGCAGCTTATCCCTGCCTGACCAGAAGAAGACAGAGCTCTTGCTAGAGGCACGTTTAGTCTGGCTCCTCCCCTTCGACCGGGAAGGACGCTTTACAAAGATCCCCGATCATTCGCCGGTTCATCGGAACAATCGGTGGCCCCCATATCGCGAAAAGGTGGTGCCTCAGTGCGTGTGTGTCGGGAGGGGGGGGGGGTCACAACATCTAGGCCGACATCAGTTGTCTTTACATCACTTCGACAAAAGGCCTGCCACTCCCCGGCTAAAAAAAAAACAACAACTGAAACTGTTGGCATCACTGGGGAAGACCCTTCCGATAGCCTGGACGGCTTGGTTCCAGTCATGTACAATTCCGATGGCCTAGACGGTTTGATTAAAGCCATGCACACTTCCGATAGCCTGGACCGCTTGGTTCCAGTCATGTACAATTCCGATGGCCTAGACGGTTTGATTGAAGTCATGCACACTTCCGATAGCCTGGACCGCTTGGTTCCAGTCATGTACAATTCCGATGGCCTAGACGGTATGATTGAAGTCATGCACACTTCCGATAGCCTGGACCGCTTGGTTCCAGTCATGTACACTTCCGATAGCCTGGACCGCTTGGTTCCAGTCATGTACAATTCCGATGGCCTAGACGGTATGATTGAAGTCATGCACACTTCCGATAGCCTGGACCGCTTGGTTCCAGTCATGTACACTTCCGATAGCCTGGACGGCTTGGTGCCAGTCATGTACACTTCCGATGGCCTGGGCGGCTTGGTTCCAGTCATGTACACTTCCGATAGCCTGGACCGCTTGGTTCCAGTCATGTACACTTCCGATGGCCTGGACGACTTGGCTCCAGTCATGTACAACTCCGATGGCCTAGACGGTTTGATTGAAGTCATGCACACTTCCGATAGCCTGGACGGCTTGGTTCCAGTCATGTAGCCGCTGCCTCTGGCTGCGCAGCGCGGTGAGGGCGAGTGTGGCCGCCGGCGTCGGACGACGTGTCACCGTATAAAAAGGGGTCGACGGCTCAGCCGCCACACTAGAGCGACGCTGCTCGAGCCGAGCTGAACGCTATCCCAGCCTCCAGACATGACGTCACGGACCGTTCTGCTGACGCTGCTCCCAGCGCTCCTGGTGGTGAGTGGCCCGGGTCCCAGCCATTGGCGGTGGGTTCTCCGGGTCCCAACTCCTGGCAGGCGTCCTCCGGGTCCCAGCTCCTGGCAGGAGTCTTCCGGGTCCCAGCTCCTGGCAGGAGTCTTCCGGGTCCCAACTCCTGGCAGGAGTCCTCCGGGTCCCAGCTCCTGGCAGGAGTCTTCCGGGTCCCAGCTCCTGGCAGGAGTCCTCCGGGCCCCAGCTCCTGGCAGGAGTCCTCCGGGTCCCAGCTCCTGGCAGGAGTCCTCCGGGTCCCAGCTCCTGGCAGGAGTCTTCCGGGTCCCAGCTCCTGGCAGGAGTCCTCCGGGTCCCAGCTCCTGGCAGGAGTCCTCCGGGTCCCAGCTCCTGGCGATGAGGGCCCGGACCACCACTCTTGGGGTGTTCTCCCGGGTTCCCTTCCCTCTCTGGCCCTGTCGAAGCGGCGAAGTGTCTGATGTCGGGTGGTGAGAGTCAGTCCTCTTCTGGTACGGTGTCATGATACATTAAGTGCTTGTATCACGACGGCGCTACCTTTGTGCGCCAAATTTGCCTTGTGACTTTACCTCGCAAGTTTTCTGGTCGTTCGAGCGCATCAGCTCTGGACAATGTACTTGCAACACAGCACAGAGGCGTAGTATTCCCGCGTGCCGCCTATTACAATCAGGTCCGCGAAATATCGCTGCGAATGGTGTTCGATCGTCGGTGAGATTCTGACGGCTACCGCCTGCGGCTCCTCCGCAACACCTTCAGTGCGCACAGGCAGCCGCGGGCGGGCTGAGAGCCACGGCGCCGCACCGCGGTCCTAGGCTGTTTTACAAGAAAGTCGAAACGTTCGACCTGTCGGACCCAGCATGCAACTCGTGCATCGCGGCTGCTGAACTGGAAGGTAAGGCGTTTCACTGATGCTGGATCACTGGACGCTGTCCTGTCGGCACGGCTAGATAGGAAAAGCGTTCACCCTGTGTTTGACTCGGCTGGCCAGAAATGGACTCGGATCCTCAAGAGCGCAGAAATACCGGAAGCCTTGTCACCCACCCTATCTGCCGCTGACGCTGTCCGGGCGCTTCCTGTGTACCCTGTCACCCGTCCTGTTCATATTCGTCATCACTGTCCGTCGTTCTCTTCGTACCCTGCCATCCACCCTGTCTGTCGTTGTCACCGTCCGTTGCTGTCCGTTGCTGTCCGTCAATGTCCGTTGCCCCTGTGTACCCTGTCACCCACCATTGCTGTCATTGTCACAGTCCGTCGGTGTCCGCCACAGTCCGTCGCCCTCAGTGTACCCATGACAGCTGCGTCGGTGCTACCTGTGAATGTGTGTGTTTGCGTGCGTGATTAGGACTTTACCACGCACTAAGCCGCTGAGACTACATGACATCGCCTGCGACTCTCTCTGGCGCGGAGGGCGAGCGTTTCCCGGATGGCCACAATAAAAAATGACGCAAAAATATAATATCTGCTTGCGGATTCCCCACCTTGTTTTGAACGCTCACCGCTGAATGCAGAACCTTCTCAACGCCTCGCAAAATCTAGATTGGGCGGCGGCGTCAGCCATGAGTCCAGCTCACGCCCGCGGCGGCGAGTGCCAACACCGAGCACCTGAACACATCCTGATCTCGCGTCCCTAGGCAGGGCAGACACGCAGCGGGACACTCCTCTCGATGCCAACTCTCCTATACCTTACAGCCCCAACATCCTCATTGGCATTCCTGGCCAAAATGTATATAATCAAAGCCTAGCCCATCTGTATCACGGCCTCAGCTTAGAACACCATTCTTACTTAACACCCCCTGAATTTCTCGGCTAGTGTTGTGCGTTGTGTCGTCTTTGCGTAAAAAAACGAAACCAGAAAATTACTGACGCGCGATACATTCTTATGTGACACTTCGGGCACTTGCACACCAGCTCATTCTTATGTGACACTTCGGGCACTTGCACACCAGCTCATTGCTCCACTCACGTGACTCCGTCTGCAGTCGTTCGCTTTGATCTTGCCGCGGCTTGCCACCTGCCCGATGGAGGTGCTGTTCTGTTTGGAGCAAAAATGATGCAGGTCAGAGACGGCTTAATCTTCTGGCTCATGAGCATTATGACTTCGTACGCTGAAAATATGTTTCGTGGCCATGACCACGACCTTCGTGACCATGAACGCTGCTGGAAGAGTCAGGCATTCTCAAATAATAACTCAATGTCACCCAAGTGAATCAGCAACTTCTGGCATAACGATAACCAGTGGTTTACAGCGTAAGAATTCATAGCATAGTAGAATTGAGTGCTCTTCTGTTTCCGGCAGCATGCACCAGCGAGCAGGCGTACGCGGCGGACGGTAGAATGGAGCGCCCTTCTGTTTCCGGTAGCTTGCACCAGCGAACAGGCATGCGCAGCGGGCAGTAGAGTGGAGTGTTCTGTTTCCGGCAGCATGCGGCAGCGACAAGGACTGCGCAGAGGGCGACATGACCGGTCTCTACTGCCACGACTTTGGAGGAGCTGTCGGAAAAAGATGCGTGCCGACCAAACAGGCAGGCGCCAGCTGCACCAGTCCCACAGAGTGCAGCTCGAACAAGTGAGTCGCACGATACCCCAGCTGTTGTTTGACATTAACTGTGCAGGAACTTGGTGTACATTATCTTAACTGCGTGCTTGGACAACAAGTTAAGGGCGCAATCAAGAGCAAATGCAGGATCTTATCAATATTCAGGACAAAACCCACCAAGGGGATTCTCAGAACTAGCCCAAAAAGCGACTAAAATGTTCTCGAAAGTCCGTTAGGGCTTTTGAAAAGTAGATGAGGACGGTGTGTGCCCCATGGCTCCATTTGAACGTCCGGTGCAGTACCGCATCAAGGAGTCTAAATAGACCGCGTCCGCAGAGAAAACCCACTGCTTTATTATCGGTAACAACGTACCTACTACACGATACGTGACATACATTATACAAATATACAACGAAATGCTCAGAGCGTTTGCTTGTTATCAGGAAACACGTTTATCCATCCACAGACGGCATACGCACGCCGTTTAGAGCTCTCTGCCTGCACTGTTTCCATTTTTGCCTTATCCCCCCGTACAGGTATTTTTACCTATTTGTTTCACCTCGGCTGACTGTATACCGTGGGTTCGTCGCACGTGTCAAGATCATGCCTGCGTCACCGCTGCGTTCACCACTGTCTGCTAACTGGCCCGTCTCTGACCCTCCACAGATGTACGTCGTTCTGTTTTTCGGATTTCCTGACCCTGTACTGTCACCAGAAGTGCACAGCTTAAGCCAACCGCGCTAAACGCTGTCAGTCTCCGTCCGGCCGGGGGAAGGAGGGGGGGGGGGGGGGGGGGCATCGGCCACACAGCCACACAGCCGTGTCCTACCAGTCGCGAACACCGCAGCGAGGGTCATATATCCGTCGAAATAGCCCGTTCGGAAGCCGTCACTGCGTAACATCGAGAGACCTTGCAAGACGCGTGCGCCCGCCGACTGTGGAGGATGGCGATCCGAGGACGCCGACTGTGGAGGATGGCGATCCGAGGACGCGCGGACGCGCGCGTCTACCGAACCCTCAGCCTCGGTGACAACAGCAATGTGCATTGAAAATAATCATATGTGCGTCACAAGGATATGATCTGTAGTGTAAGCAATAAATCCTGTGGTGCAAATCAGCCTGAGAGATAACATCAAAACGGAAACAGCATTTGAGAATATCGTAAACCCATGCTGTGTGACTCCCGAGACACGTGTGTTGAAATACGTCACCAGAAAAGTCTCTCGCTAGGTAAAGATTCCATTCTGATGGAACATGCAGCCATCATCGCACGGCTGCTGCTGTCGGCTCTCGGGCTATGCTACCTGCGGCCGGCAGGCGCCACCTCCCAACACGTGCTCCCACCTATGAGGCCATTATTAGCGCCATCTGCACATCGGGCCGCTCGCCAGAGAGCTTGGTGCTCCACCTCAAGAACCAAGCACTGTGATGACAGTTTGGCATGTTTTGGCACACATTACTGTGGTGTACATCCTTTCACACCTTTAGCCCATGCTCCATGTACAATGCATCTGAGGGTGTCCCAAAGGTTTATTACAATGAATTTCATTTTTGAGTGTGAGCTTACATTTTCTTTTTCCAGAAGCACCATGCCTAAACTTGGGGCTCCAGAACAAATCCTGACTATAACTCTGCATGTCAATCAAGCTTTAATGATGGGCATGGGTTTATTAACTAGTTTACCTGGCAGGCATATTATTGACATGCATGTTACCTATTCTAACCAGTGGTCATCAGTACTCAATTTTGTACTGATTTCTCATTACACATTACCAATACAATGGACTACCAACAATAACCTGAGAACAGAATGGCAGGTCCCAGGTGTGAACTGGGCTGCCACTGGGGCAGGGGCTCAAGCCTCTCCAGGTCCCAGCTAAATGCAATGGTACACCCCTGCACTAGCTTGGCAGGTTAATATCCATGCTGCATTTTCCAGACTCATTATGTATCAACATCACCAGTGAGGCACCCTATGGCACTGGAATATCCAAAGGTGTCAAATCCTGGAGGTATTGCTTAACACACCATTACTGTACAATACCAAGTTACTGAGTCATCACTGACACCTTTAGAATAGGATTGCCGGCCATTTTAACCAGCCAGATTTAGAAGCGTTTTTCACGCTGTCACATTGATAGCTGTCACATTGGTAGCTGTCACATTGGTAGCTTCTTTAATGACTGTCCAGTTATTTCCAAGTCAGAATCAGACACAACTCAACAATGTGTTGTGCTATTCAACACAGACACATAGAAAGCATTTTTAGGAGAGCACTGACCTGAGACCTGCCTCTTCCCCCTCATATGCAGTGCTTTATATTTTTGAATCTAATAGCACAACAATTTCACTAAAATGTGAGCCACACAACACCACCTAACTACAGAAAAGTATTCAGAAGAACACCTCTGGAGGCCAGGCTGGGCCCTGGATTCCCCTTCTCCCCTCCCCCTTAACACACAAACACAAACAACCATTCACAAAAACAACACTTGGTCCTGGTGCAGTGCAGTGCACTCAGAGTATGTGTCATAGGGGCTTTACGACCCACTTAGCTGCTGAGGCTATATGGCGTCGCCTGCCTCTCACCCTGGCAGGAAGGGCGGGCAACGCGGGGAATCAAACCCTGTGCCTCTGGTTTTCCAGACGTGCAGTGCACTCAGAGCAGGATTCATCCATGAGACATGAGTCAACATGGCCAGATCTATGTGACGTGAGTCAGGGGCAAAAATGGTCCACCTGAGGTAAAATCAAGCTCTCGTCCAGACGTAACCAGAAGCTCACCTGTCGGCTGCCTGCTCCACGTACACCCCAGCGCCCGCGGGCATACCGGCGTCAACCACGCACGGCGGAACGGTTCCCTGCAAACCTCCAGGTATGAACCAGGGCAAGAAGAGATCCGGAAGCCACTTGCGACCAATCAATGCCTGCAAACTCAATGTAACATCCCGGGCTCCATCCTCGATACTCACCCATTTCACCCCACCCAACTCACGGCCCCCTCACGGCACACAGCCAAGGACAAACAAACGCGCTCAGAATATGGTGGTATCGTCACTAATGCGGCATTTTAGGAGCATAAAGGCTGATTAGCCCTAAACTGCTGTATGGAGCGTCACTGACAAATGCTTGATATCTCGCCCCAATCCATTTTGCTGCGTTGTTTTTGGGATTTCATCTGCCAAAATATATTCATAAATTATGTGTGCAAAAAATATTCCCATAATGTGGTTTTTTGCTTCAGAGTATTGCTGCGTGCAGGAGTCGGGCCCTACACTATAAAAGTGGCTGCAGATTTGAGCCTCAAAATGAGCTCTATGGGAGGCGCACAGTGCCGCAGCGGGCGGGACGCATGTGGTGCGTCTCATATTTCTTGGATATTTAGCATCATGGGCGATAGGGAGCTATGGTACGCCCTGATTATTTTCTGGCAAACACTTTTTTGCCATTCAAATTTACTTCGGTGGAGATTCTTCTCCCCGCGCGCTGGAAAGACCCTTATAATGGGTTTCTTGACCAAAGGACTCCTGTTACTCCATTATGAACTCATCGAGCCCCATTCTGTGTTTCCTAGGCCTATGGGGTCTGCTCCCCATCCCTAAGAGCCGGGAGCTATAAACTTATGACCACATATGGCGAACGAAGAATGGGTAGTTATGTCGTTGGTGCACGTTTAGCGCTGATCATGTCAAAGGACTTAAAAGCTGTCCAGACTGTGATTTTCATGTGTATTTATTGTTGCAGCCATTGGCGTAATGCCTTTTTGCGAGTTTTAACTGGCCATATGTAGGCAAATAGCACATTACAAGCATGCTGAGTATATAGTTAAACAATTTTGTCTAATTATCATAAAAAGCGCCGAAATAATGCTTGAGCATTATGCCAATCTGATTGTGTTCAGTTAAAAACCCTTTAAAAATTAGTAACTGAAAGTTCATTTAACCAAAACCTCACTGTTCTTAAATATTCGGATTTTAGCATTACAAGTGTGAGTTTCGGTGCCTATTCATTTTGCATTACAGCGTGTCCCACGCATGGTTATTCGTTTCAAGGGAGTGATCCACATGTGTATAGGGGTTTTTAAACTTAAATAACCGCCTTGAAGATCATTCGGTGCCGTCCACAGCCCTATCCTTCTCAAGATCTAAGCCGCTCTAGTTTCTGAGGTACACTCCCCCGAAGATGTGCAGACTATTTCGGGGAGACCTTTTCAAGGTCACCCAGGAATCTTTGATATCATGACAACGTCATTAAAATTCTGCGATCCCATTGGCCGCGTGCCGTTCAAGAATAACAAAGTATAGTTGTCGAGTCGTCCATATTTGGCGTTCGTGAGCAGAAATATAATTCCAGACATAACTACCGTCTATTGACTCTTAATCAATGTGGTGCAAGGTACCATGATGTAATCAAAGGATCATGCGCTGAGGAGCATATTTACTAAACAGATAATTTGTGTTGCTCAGGGTAACGTTAGCCGCATAAAAGTATACCAATATTTATAACTGAGCTTATTCAATTGAATCTCATGCCTGCTTGAATATCGTCTTCAAATACGAAATACGCCATTTAATAAACGACTACCAAGCGTCATAATATACATTTCCACTTTCAGTCCTCGATGTAACAAGACAAACAGGACCCCATTTAATACCTGACCGATCCGTCGCAGTTCCACAATAAAACGCTACAATCTGCAGCCATTGATGTTCCAGATCACGTGCTGATGAGAGGGTAGTGAAACAACTGAGTCTTTCATGCTGACGGCTTCTCTCGACAATTTTCGGACGACCCCCTGGATTTACATCACGCCTCAAGATAAGGCCAGATGCTGATCACCTTTGCCATTACATAACGTACACAGCATTTCAACGCTCTCACTTTCCACTGGTGTGTATGGTGGTGACGATGGGCAACAGAATTTGAGCGCTCATTTTAATGTTGCGTGTGTTGAACAATATGCTCTCACTTGACAAGTGAACTCTATTAGTTTCGACGTTACAACCATCGTTACAGCGACGTCATAAGGTACACACTTATGAGGACGGAACGGACCTGGCTGATGGTATAGCTTTTTCTTATGTGTACTGACTTTGTCTTGGTCGCGCTGGATGCAGATAACAGTCTTAGCATGGGGCTTCACATTGGGTTTGACGTTTTAGACGTTTTAATAGCCAGTGCCAGTCAGTAAGGAACGCCCATGATCTTATGCGACATCCGACATGTGAGTTATCATAACTTGCTGTAGATCGAGCATTTTCTATTCCAGATACTAAATGATCCTCTGAAGACAGGCAGCCTTTTTCACCCGAGGCCGACAGAAATGCCGCCTCATGCGGAGGAGTGAAATAGTTTTGATTACAATGTTATAGTCGTTACGTGAAGTACGATAACATCCACTGTCACACACATGGCCAGTGACATATACTTGCATTAAATGGAGTGTTTCAGATTTATATGGGGTTTTGAACTGAAATAGCTATCTTAAGGACCTTCGGTGCTGTTTATAATCCTGTCCTTAACATCTAAGCCGCTCTAGTCTTTGGGCTACACGCCCGCAAAAATAGGGAAAGGCTTATCAGAAGAGTATTTCAGTCACCTTGGCACTCATAACGTCAGAATAGCGTCATTCAAATGCTGTCATTCCACCAGCCGTGCGGCGATCAAGGCCAAGAAAAATATAATTATCGAGGGGTCATATCTAGCGTTCGTGAGCGTGACTTCCAGATAAGACGACCGTCAATTGGCTGTCAGTGTTGTGCAGGGTACGATGATTTGATCAAACCCTGACGTATTGAGGAGCATAGCTACTTAACAGAGAATTGTGCCGTCCAGAGCAATCTTTTTACAAGAAGCAGCTAGCGGATCTAAAAAATCCGATGCATTTGAGCCACGCAGCACGTCACTCCTGCTGGCCTCCAACGGCGTACACAACCCGGTACCCTGCCCTCCAAGCTGAGCGCCCCCTCGCCGTTTCTCCCTCTCCGACACTGCTCTCGCCAAAAAACGTTTCTTCGTCCGCTGCTCCTCGCCCCTTGCGCCCACTTCGCCGCTTCCGCCGCGCACCAGATCAAGGTTTCCCTTCACACTCCCCCTGATCCCCGATCACAAACTCAATCAGCAGCTCACACTCCCCCCCCCCCCCCCCCAGATTTTGCGCGAACGCCGCAGAGTGGATCAGCGCTCACCACACAAGTCGCAGACGCGTGGTCTGACCAGCCGGCGACTCCTCCTGGGCTCCCCGGCGGGAGTGCCCTCTCTTTCCTCTCCCCTGTAGATCCCCTCTTCTTCCTCAGGGGGACCGCCCGTTGCCTCCTCCTGCGTCTCGTCGCAAACTGCTCTGCCCGCCGCAGCCGGCGGCGCTTCGACTTGGCCGTCGCCTCCCCACGTACCAGCCAGCAGCCGCAGTCGTCGGCGTCTTCATCGCCTACCTGAGTACTCGGTCCGGTCTCTCCAGCTGGCGTTGCACGCGTCGGGGCACCGCCTGTTCGCAAATCACGCACGTGACGTGGCACCCCGTCTACTTCTACAGTTTGAGGCGACATCAAGCAGGTCACGGTTCCAGTCTCGCTAGCTGCGTCGCATGTGCGACTTGGGTCGCGAATCCACACCTGATCGCCGGCACTGAATCGACATGTCACAGCCCCGGGATCGCGCTCGTTCTTGTCAATGCCGCGGACTCTCACCTCATACGCATAGAGAACGTTCGCCGGCGCCGTACCGGCGCTCACGTCGTCCTTAGGCGTGACGTTATACCAGTACACGGCGTCCAGCACGGGGCAGCTGGTGCGGGCCACCATCCGCTTCACCGTACGGTGACAGCGCTCCACTACGCCGTTCCCGGATGGCTGATGCGCATTTCGGAACTGCATCACGACGCCCCACCGCTCCGCAAGGTTTCCAAAAGCGTGGCTGCGGAAAACGGTCGCGTTATCGGTCAACAGCTACGTCGGTGCTCCTGTCTCACGGAACACCTGCTCCAGCTGTTCGATGACGCTGGCGCTGTCCTGCCTCCTCAGACGTCGCCGCACAGCACACCTTGACGGTCCGCAATCAACGATCGTAAGATAGTGCGCCGCGCCGATGTGAGTTATATCCATACTTAGTCGCCGCCAGTTGTCACTCAGTGCCAGCTCGCCCCGTTCCCACCGTACGGGGGCGGGGTCGACGAATTGACACTGCTGACAGACCCGCACTAGATTGCGTACCGCTCGCTTCGTCACACTCAGTCCGGCTCGGCGACAAAAGTACGGAGTGTGACGCACACCCGGGTGCCCAGCGAACTTCGCAAATCTTCTCGTCGCTGACCTCGGCTGACCCGTCGTCGCCGACGACTACGTCGCCCGCACCGGCGGTTGCCGGAACGCCGGTAGTGTCACCTGCGGTTCCCGTAGCGGCCGCGGCAGCGTCAACACCGGGGCCGGCGTCGTCACCGCCGCCGCCGGCCGACACTCCCTCCGCGCTGGCCATGCCGGCCTCGGCGGCAGCGCCTGCGACCGGGGGACCTTTGGCGCCGGCCGGCGCGTGCCGCGCCTTCAGCCACTTTGCCGGTGCTCTCGTGAGTGCGTCCGCTTTGTTGGCTGCGGACGGGACGGCCTGTACGCTCACTTGTAGGCTGCATTCCTCCGCCAAGGCTTTTAGCGTGCCTAGTCTTCGTCTGATAAGCATTTCCGACGCAGCTTTCGAGTGCACGCGTGCCTTGCCGCTGAGATGATCCGTTATCCAGTGACACACAGTCCGAGAATCCGGCACGAGGCTTATTTTCGTCACTCCCCACTGGATGGTCATGTTCACCTCTTTCAGGGTAGCATCTAGCTCTGCCATACTGATATGGGCCCACTCATCTCGGTGCAGCCAGGAGGCGTCCTCTACCACTTCCCTCCGATCTCGACGGCTGCGCCCACCGCCACCGAACTGGCATCCACCCAAACGCGCGCCTCCTTCCCGCTCACGTCCCAACGACCGCGGGCTGGGTCCGCCTCGTCCACCTGCCGAAGGGTCTCCTGCACCGCCTGGCGCACGCGCTCGTCTGTGATTTC